GAAAGAAAGAAAGAAAGAAAGAAAGAAAGAAAGAAAGAAAGAAAGAAAGAAAGAAAGAAAGAAAGAAAGAAAGAAAAGAAAGAAAGAAAAGAAAGAAGAGAAGAGAAGAGAAGAGAAGAGAAGAGAAGAGAAGAGAAGAGAAGAGAAAGAAAGAAAGAAAGAAAGAAAGAAAGAAAATCAAATATCTGTATGACTTTGGAGAGCCAGTACAATCCACGGGGAAAATATCTCACCTCAGTGGTTGAAAGCACCGTATCTTCGTCGAGGCTTAGAACAGCATCAGTGACAATGTTCTCATAGGGCAGGAAGCGGCTGCTCATCACCTGTAAGGTAAACGAGATGGGTCAGTGAGATGCTTTTGAGGCTCATCTGCAGACAGGACCTCCATACCTGAGCCCAAAGAGTTAACAAAAGCATTAAAGGGGGGGGGGGGGGGGAATGGCTGTGAAAGAAAAGAGCTTCATGTACAAGAACTGAATTCCTTTGCAGCTTTTGCATAGGACCTAACAATGTGATTATGTTACTCCTGATTAATTTCAGCAAGAGTGGCCTTCTAGATTTATGTGTTCACAGTATTCCCTTACCCCAAATGTTGTCATGCATAATGCTCTGGTTTGATTTTTTGGAAACCAACCAACCATTTTTATATAATTAAAAGGCAATAAGTCATGGCTATATTTAGAGTATATGTGCTTCTCAAAAGCTTAAAGTAGCATTTAGAATTCCTTCTTACTTTATCTTCATCAAAATCTGATGAGGTAGGCTAAGTTAAATGATAGTGACTAACGCAATGCCTCGGGCTAAAATTCATAGCTGGAGACCAATACAAGAATAAGTACCCGCCTAGATGAACACAAAAATGCAGTAAAAACGTTGGAACACACTTCCTCACTAGTCCAACACATGAAAGCCACAGGTCATAGCATCGACTTCAATGGCACCAAAACCCTAGCCACTATAGAAAACCCCAGCCACAGAATTATCAGAGAAGCCATAGAGATTGAAAACAGACCTGAAAGCATGAATAGAAGAGATGACTCCACCAGACTGTCAATTATCTGGAAGCCTGCACTCACAAACAAAAAAATCTCCACACCACAAGCCAGGCAAACACCTGGGCACAAACAGGCTCCCCCTGATACCTCCAGCTCAAACACATCCCAACCAGGCACCCAGATGAAACCTAGCTTCCTAATAAATGATAGCCATCCGTTTACTCGGAGCCAAGTCGCACTAAAAGCCTCCAATACAGGAACACAATGTTGCCAGCCAATCAAGACAAAAAAAAAAGCTACAAAACACACAGAAGATATTAGAAACACCAATCAAGCAGAACACAGTAAACTCCAAGACCAATAAACACAGACCAAGACTCCCAACCAATCAAGATGAAGAAAAAACCATTCTGGCACAGCAGTAGGCTAGCACCAAATTTAAAACAGAAAAGGCTGTGAAAGTCTGACTCACAGACGAACACTATACAGAAGCCTGATGATGGCAGATGAGATTCTGCCCAAACATTGCTACAACTTTAAAAGCACAACTATAATGACGTGGGAAAATACCCGAACAAAGCTGAATAACATACATGTAAGTACCCACGAAAACTTAACACACACACACACACACACACACACACACACACACTTCACTGGTTGGTTTTCAAAATCTATAGCTAGCCATATACTATCATTGAAAACAAGAAACGATGAACAAAAGAGTGTACATTTTAAGTTACAATGTTCCTAAGACAATACAATGTCTATGTAGGATTTTGCATTAATCTTTTGAAGCCACTATGACATCAATTTGTGAGCAGTAGTTGATATAAGAATATTGTCGGGTTCTCTTGAGACATTCTGACTTCTCCGAGTGACTATACATTAATTTATTACAGATAGACAATTCAGTCTATTTCTGCTGCATGCCATTTCTAGATGTAGCTCATCTCATTTCCACCCTGATGTGCAAACTCAGAATCCCAAAATGTGCGTTTCTAAATTTATTGGAGAGAACATTTTTTTTTTTCTGAGAACTACAGCACAACATTTGATGAAGTGTGAAAGCTGATTAATCTGATCAGCACTGAAGAATGATGGGACAATTTTGGGTTGTTGTTTTGTTCAGATTTGCTGCTTTCTGTCACCCCCAAATCCTCTTCACTGATTTGCCAACTAACTTTTCCTCATTAAATCTTTGTACTTCTAGAAGAAAAATTGCAGCAGTATCTGTATTTTTTTAAAAAATTTCTCTTTTGTCAACTGGAAACATTTATATTAGGTAGACCCAATTTTTGTGGTTAGTTTGCTCTTGTTTTTATAAAAATGAAGTATTGAAAGACAAGGAATCTACCATGGAGTTCTAATAAATGAGATTCAACCATTCAGACATGTACCCAAGAGACGAACAAGTACAAACAGCTTCCTGAGAGGGGAAGGATGGTCCTGAGGCTGAAAACATTTAATCTTTTATAAGATCTTTTATAACAATTTTTGCCACCCTGGGGTTTTCGATTGATTAAAATCCTGGATAATTCTCAGCAGCAAAGCAAAAAGGGGCTATAATCCTGCATATCTGAAAGGAACCAGGCTTGGCAAGATGGTTGGGCTTGAGCAAGTTAGCTTTCACTGTAAAAACAGTCAATTTGGCATTCTAAACATTTTTTTTTTTCCATTTGGGCATTTGCTGTGCAGGAGGAGAAATGTGAGCCTTGAGGAAACTTCCAGATTTCTTTGTTGTCCCCAAAAATGCTCTAAGGCAGGGGTCCCCAACCGCCGGTCCGCGGACCGGTACCGGGCCGCGGAACAAGCCTTACCGGGCCGCTGGTTGCTGGGCGCCGCCATCTTTTTTTGGTAAAAAAAGCAATTTTTCGTCAAAAAAGATGGCGGCGCCAGCGCTTCCGGTGAGCTTTTCCGGGTAGAAAGCCATTTCTACCCGAAAAAGCTCACCGGAAGCGCTGGCGCCGCCATCTTTTTTGACGAAAAATCACTTCCGGTGACGTCACCGGAAGTAATTTTTCGTCAAAAAAAGATGGCGGCGCCCAGCTGATGCCGGAACCGGGCCGCGGCGCCCAGCTGACGCCGGAACCGGGCCGCAGCGTCGAAAAGGTTGGGGATCCCTGCTCTAAGGCTATTGCTTACCTGCGTTTTTGAACTTTGTCAGATCTATTCTTTCCTTAGGCCCTCCAATACATGAAACAACACATCAAAAATGGAAAGAGACAGAAGGAAGTAATCAAGTTCCACCAAAGAAGGCAGAAGAAGCCTTCTCTGTCTCCAAGCCCTGAAGTGAATCTCAAACTACCCTGGGATCTGAGTCAACAGATTTATCTGCCACCTTAGCAGCCATTTAGTGAATTGGAGAAAAGCACAGATATTACCTCCATTCTTTTTAGATGGATGAGAAATACTTGGGAGCTTCAATAATTTAGATACATTTCCACCCACCCAATTGGGACACCTTATTCAATAAAGAACCGTGAAATTGCATGAAACTGTAGAATCAGCAACCTCCTTGAAGTATGTTATACAAGAACCTCAAGTTATAATAGACCTGATACTCTGCTACTATTTTCAGCAAGAAGGACAGGTGTTCATACCTCACTCTATGTTGAAACTCTGCTTGAGGATTGGGGCACTGGTGGACTTTCAGATGTAGCTGGACTAGCACTTCCAGCATATGTCGTTGCCATCCTTGCTGGATGTGGCTGCTAGAAGCTCTACTTTAACATTTTGGAGACTGACTCACTGTGATATACCAGCCTATCTCTAATTATAAAGATAAAGGTAAAGGTTCCCCTAGCACATACATGCTAGTCATTTCTGGCTCTAGGGGGCGGTGCTCATCTCCCGTTACAAAGCCAGTGCTGTCTGAAGACGTCTCCGTGGTCATGTGGCCGGCATGATTAACGCCAAAGGCGTACGGAATGCTGTTACCTTCCCACCAAAGTAGTCCCTATTTTTCTACTTGCATTTTTACATGCTTTCGAACTGCTAGGTTGGCAGAAGCTGGGGAAAGTAATAATATCACTATATTATAAACTTGCTTGAATGCAAAGTCAGGTATAAAATAGAAGCCAGTTCTATAGCAATAACTTATTATAGCCAGCAAGAGATTTTTCATTGTTGCCTAAATCCATTTTTGTCTTCTCACTTCAAAACTACTATGCCACATCAATTCCTATAAATTGATACTCTAGTACAGGGGTGTCAGACACCAGGCCCACGGGCCGAATTCGGCCTGCAATGTAGTCAGATCTGGCCAGTGGGGCCATCCTGGAAAATGTTAAGGGACTGGCCCGCATCGCTTTGGCCTGGTCTACCCAATGTGAAGAGGAAACATGTCAGCAGTTTGGGGAGTAGCGTGAAGCTGGCCACGCCCAGTGAGTGGTGTAAAGCTGGCAATGCCCATCCAGTTGGTCACAACCACCCAGTCAGTCATGCCCCCCTGAGATCAACCACAGCCCTGATGTGGCCCTCAATGAAATTGATTCTACCTTTATACCTTTACTGTCATTGCATTCCATGAACACAATGAAATTTGAAAGCTACTCCAGCACAGTGCCCCAAACACCACATCACAATCATACTACAGAGTATTTAAAAATTAAAATAATTATAATAATAATAATAGGACTAAATCACAAATGCACTGTTTGACTGAAGACAATTACTGCCTTGGAAAAGAAACTGTTTCTCAATCTATTAGTCCTCATTTTAAGACACCTATAACGCCTCCCTGATGGTAACAGTTCGAAATATGAATGTCCAGGATGAGAACGGTCTGTGGAGATTTTTAGTGTTCTAGAGAGGAGTCTGGTCTTCACAATCTCTTCCAAAGAAGAAAGAGAGCAACCAATGATTTTTTGTGCTGTGTTTATAACTCTCTGGAGCATCTTCTTATCCACTGCAGAGCATCCAGCATACCACACCGTTACACAGTATGCCAAAATGCTCTCGATGGTAGAACGGTAAAAAGTAACTAGCAACTTCTCACCCAGACCACTCTTTTTCAGCAACCTCAGAAAGTGACTGTTGGGCCTTCTTTGCAGTGGCCATGGTGTGGAACAACCAAGTAAGGTTGTCGGAAATATGAGTTCCTAGAAATGTAAAACTATGAACTCTTTCCACACAGTCTCCATTGATATATAGTAGGAGAGGTTCTGCTTTGCATCTTCTGAAGTCTATAATCAATTCTTTGGTCTTTTTGATGTTCAGAGTGAAATTATGACTCTTGCACCACAAGACCAGTCTAAGAACTTCTGACCTATAGGCCGTCTTGTCTCCTCCTGATATGAGTCCCACCAACGTGGTGTTGTCTGCAAATTTTATTATAGTTAGTGGGACAAGAGGGAGTGCAGTCGTAGGTGTAGAGTGAATACAAAAGGGGGCTCAGCACACAGATATGACACCCTTGCTCTAGTACACAGGTCGTCCTCAACTTACAACCATTCATTTAACAATCAGTTACAACGGCACTGTAAAAGGTAATTTATTGCTAGATTTCATATTTATGACCGTTGTGCATGCCCATGGCCACGTGATCAAAATTCAGGCATGTATTTAATGACAGTTGTAGTTTCTCAGGGTCATGTGATTGTCATCTGTGACATTCCCAGCAGGCTTCTGACAAGCAGAGGTTACGGGCAAGCCAGATTCAGCTAACAGCTGTGGGACTCACTTAAGAACTGCAGTGATTCACTTCAAAATGGTTGTAAAATCAAAAATGAGTTGTGCCTGATTTTACAACCATTGGTTGCAAGTTGAGAACTAGCTGTATTTGTAAATCTCTTATATACTTCTAAGGCCCACTGACCTTGAACATATATTATATAAGAGACAGTTGACTTGGAAGCCAGTCCCAATAAAAAAAAAAAAAAATTGGGAGCCCAGAATTATCTATGCTGCCTCCGTCTGCAGGAAGGATGCATTAAGAAGGTAAGAAGAACCAGACAGGCGACTTTAAGTGCCTGGAGGAATTATGGCATGTAGCTGTAATAAAAAAGCAAACAACAGTAACCACAACCATGACAATATACCTTGCTTTCTCCTTCGATAACAATGACAGGCACAGCAGTGGCAGGCCAGCGATGCTTGGCAGGAAGGGGCTTATCACAATTCCATAAGACAATGATCTGAAAAACAGGAAGGTTTTCCCATTATGAAAATGCTTGCAGAAGACACAGCCGAGAGAGGCTCAAAGGTTATCTCAGCCCTGCACTTCAGTCTAGAATTTCACACCCCAAAACAAATGAACACAGGAAAAAGTCCCCCAATGAGATTTAATTCCTAGCGAGAGAAGAGGGGCTAATTAAATTTTGTTGTTGTTGTTTTTTTTACTTCTGTTGAGTAACAAGAAAATCATCCCAGTTGGACTGGCTGCATTAAAAATACAATTTATGTGACATCTGAAAGCATCTTGGACAAAAGACAAGGGACAAAGTGTTCATAGCTTGATATCAAAACCAGGTGCTCTAACACTTCATTAGTGGTGTTCATGTTGTTATGGGAGCTTGTGTCTTCATATTCTTGATTTAACCAGTCCATTCTGTGTTGTGATTATTGAAAAGAAAGTTTAAATTTTTTTTTTTTTTTGCAACTTAGAATAGAATAGAATAACAGAGTTGGAAGGGACCTTGGAGGTCTTCTAGTCCAACCCCTTGCTTAGGCAGGAAACCCTACACTACTTCAGATAAATGGTTACTCAACATCTGGTTAAAAACTTCCAGTGTTGGAGCATTCACAACTTCTGGAAGCAAGTTGTTTCACTGATTAATTGTTCTAACTGTTAGGAAATTTCTCCTTAGTTCTAAGTTGCTTCTCTCCTTGATTAGTTTCCATCCATTGCTTCTTGTCCTGCCCTGAGGTGCTTTGGAGAATAGATTGATTCCGTCTTCTTTGCGGCAGCCCCTGAGATATTGGAACACTGCTATCATGTCTCCCCTAGTCCTTATCATTAGACTAGACATACCCAGTTCCTGCAAACGTTCTTCATATGTTTTAGCCTCCAGTCCTCTAATCGTCTTGGTTCTCTGCACTCTTTCTATAGTCTCAACATCTTTTTTACATCGTGGCGACCAAAACTGAATACAGTATTCCAAGTGTGGCCTTAACAAGGCATTATAAAGTGATATTAACACTTCATATGATCTTGTTGTGATACCAAATGCAGAATTCAACTTTTGGAAAGATCAGGGTGGGCTATTTGCCCCAGTTCTCCAGAAACAAATGCAGAATGTCTTATAGGAATTGAACTTGGCTTCCTGGCAATCTCTGCAAGTTACTAGTCCTCCTGACTAAAATCTCAACATGGAGGAGGAGGAACGGAAAAAGGTGCTGGATTATATTGAAAAATTCAGTGTTTCCCACAGATTCTTAGACCTTTCAAAGACCAATAAAAACTATATACTGTGCGGAAATGTTAAGAGGCAGAATTAGTCTCAGAGCAATTATGCAAATTTGTTAATTGGTGTAATTTAAACAGATTGCCAAACTTCATTTCTCCCGTATCATATAGCCTGACAATAAACCCACTCTAACAGGAAAAGTGACCAAGTTTATCCATCTAGAATAGTTTAGTTTAGTCCTGTTGCGAACTAACTTTTAATTCCATTTTTTTCAAGGAGTACTCCTAGAATATAATGGAGCTGGAAGGGATCTTGTAGGTCTTCTAGTCCAACCCCTGCTGAAGCAGGAGATCTTACATCAGGGGCTTTCAAACTTGACAGCTTTAAGACTTGTGGAGTTCAACTCCCAGAATTCCTCCTCCAGTCATGTTAGCTCAGGAATTCTGGGAGTTGAAGTCCACAAATCTTAAACTTGCCAAGTTTGAAGACCCTTGCCCTACATAAACAAAAAAAGGAGATCCTGGATAAACATTTTTCATTTTGATAAATTTTGTACTAGTATCTTCTAGTGAGGGTAGAGGGGCGAGTGGAAAACAGCATAAAATCTTGTATTCAGTAATAGACAATACCAAAAGTTCAACTCAGTGTAAGGCATATGCCTCTATGTAATTCAGATTTACAATGTCTCCTTTGGCTACGTCCAGGGTGTAAGGAACATGCTTGAGAGTTGTGGGCTTCTGAAGGGCATTGATGAAGTAATTGCACCCTCAAAATGAATGTTGGTGGTACTTCTTTAGGGAGTGGTGGTGTTTTAAATTTTAAGAAATTTGAGGCATTTATTTTTTACCTTTTGAAGCTCACCTCACAGGGAACATGGAGCCCTTAATCAAAGGAATCCGCAATGCAAAAACCTGGTTGAACATTTTGGTTTTTCCTCATGAGAACCATGAAATGGGTACTGGGAGGCTTCACATGCCATGCAGAACATGGGCCATTCATTGCTCCTTTAATTTATTCATTTTTAAAATAAATCTTCACTAAATGTTTTAGTGAAGAACATAAAATCTAACACAAACTAATAAAAAGTAAAAGTAGAAAAGAGAAAAGAAAAAGGAAGGAAAAAGGAAAAGTGCAGAAAGAAAAAATAAAAAGAAACAGAAGTTTCTGATTTCCTTTGCAGAAAATATTAAGCACAATTACAAAGGTATTTCTTATTCCATGATTCTCATTCTTATTCTCACTCTTTTCTATTATCCAGTCTTTTTCTAATCAGCAAAAACACAAAACTTAAGTGCATATTTTTCAATTTGATGCAAAAAGTCTATAAGTGGTTTCCAGTCAATCTCATATAAAGATACTGTTTTTTTTCCTCTAATTAAAGAAGTTAACTTAGCCATCTTTGCAAGTTCCGCCATCTTTATGGGCTTTAACACATTTGTTGTATAATTAGCTTTGCCAGTGTGGGTGAAGATAAATTGGGAGATGCCAGACAAACTTAGAGCAACCAAATATGGATTTTTAGCCAATGACTGGAAGGTTGATCATATTCCTCACCTGAGCACAGTGCTGGGATTTGGCTACTGCAACCAGGAGTTTCAGCACAGGTTGAGATTGGGACACCAGAGGAGTAACTGCATGGATGACGGCGGTGAATTTGGATGGGGCCTTGACTCCTGAAAAGAAAATGAGAGAAAATGAACCACCCAATCATTTAAAGAATTCTAAAATATATTGGTTGACTTTAACTCTCAACACACAAGTTCATTAATCACAGAAAAAAACAAAACGCTAGCTGATTCCACAAAAATGAACTTCCCTGAAAAGAAGACAACCAACCAATCAAAAACCAGCTACCCCTTTTACTATATTCTAGGTAAATAAAGGTAAATCTCTCACTATCCCATTTAAAAAAAACATTTTTATTAAATAAATTTATATGGCCACCCATCTCATTGAATATGACTCTGTGTAGCATAGAACCAACAATATCTTAGCTATTTAAAAACTTAAATATAAAAATAAAAGCAAGATTGCTTGAGAAGATAAAGCAGTATTTTAAAGGAATATTTAGGTATTTAGCAAAAAATAACCCAATTTTTAATGTTAATATATGCATCCAAAGAAAAAATGATCCAGAATTTAAAGCATTTCTTCCTTAAAGGGGAAAAAAATAATCAGAAAAAACAATTATTAAGCAGAAAAAAAAATCTCCTTATATCTTTCATCCAGATTTATCTTTAGGTAAGATGGGTGACCTATAAATTTTATAAATAAATGAATATTTATTTACTTACAAAATTTATAGGCCATCTACCTTCCATTTACTATTACAGTGGATGTTGGGAATGGTAGCTCGTAAGTACTTTGCTACTCTAATACCATCAACATTTTCCTTTGAAAGTGATGGGATTCAGAGGGAGTCAGATTTAAGATTTTTGGCACTAGTCTGGCTGACTGGTAGCCTTAAGAGAAGAATGTCTATGGTGGTTTCCTTACTAGTACTGTGATTCAGGTCAGTGTCCAAAAGCTCCGGCAGAGCTGGAACCAAAGGACAGTGCCAGAGATAGCCTAGACCAGGGGTCTGCAACCTGCAGCTCTGGAGCCACATGAGGCTCTTTTGAACCTCTGCTGTGGCTCCCTAGCTGGCCCCTCCTCTCCCCTCTCAGTCACTCCTTCCCTAGCCTGAGAAGGTAAGGGTGATGGTGGGGAATGGAGACTCGCTCCATATTCCAGAGCAGGAGGTGACTGGGTGGGAGTGAGTGATGTCAAGTTGGCCACGCCCGCCCAGTCATACCTGTTGTTAAATTATTGGTTCCCTGTGTTTTCTTTTCTGTGGGAAATTAGTCCAAATGGCTCTTTGAGTGTTTAAGGTTGCAGACCCCTGGCCTAGACAGGTACATCTGGGTTCTTGTATTTATTTTCAAAGCTATTTGCTCAATTTGGATAGTTTCTACATTTGACTCTATTCTCTGCCCTTCCATTTTTCCTTATTCTATTGACAAATAATGATGGCCACTGTACTGCTTACGTGAGAATGATATTGGGAGACAAGAGAAAGAGCCACAGACTAGACAACAGTCTGGTAAAAGAAACCTGTCTCTGAAGGAGAGGTAGGGATAGAGAAAACATATCAGAAAGGACCAGCCTTAGTTTTGGGGACAGTAAAAGCAAGGGTGGGGAAAGATACTTTCAGATTTGCAAGATTCTATTACTATAATTTATGGACTTCAACTCCCATAATTCCCCAGCCCCCATGGCTGGCTGAGGAATTCTGGAAGTTGAAGTCCACAAGTCTTAAAGATGCCAAGGGTGGAGACCCCCACTATAACCTTACAGTAAATGTGGTGTTAGTGCTTGCTTTGAGCTTCTTGTCTGGACTATTACAGAGAAGTGACCCTATCGTTGGTTGCAGACTTATGTAACTTGGTATAGCTAATCTATTTTTTTTCCAAATCCCTATTTGTTCCTAGAAAAGTAAAGAAGTTTTGATTGAGAGCTTAGGTTCTCATACACCTTACTACACAGCTTAGATTCCACTTGCCTCACACTGTTAGTTGCACATTACCCAGAACAAGATTCCTCTTCCCAACCAGTGTGTTCCTCAAGAAAGACCTACTTACCTAGGTTAGCATAATAGTAAGGGAAATCTCCCAGATATGATGAATACTGTGGCAGTACGAACAATCCTCCGGGGTGTTTGTTCCATATTAAACTGTTACGGGATATGTGCTTAAATATTCTGTCTTGAATAATCTGCAAAACAAGAAGTTAAAACAATGTTTAGGAAACTCTTAATGAAAAAATAAAATAAAAGCAGAACCCTTTAATCAAAGCCCCCGAGAGGCAGATTATTTAGAATTGGTGTGGAATCTTCTTGACACATAGAACTTCATTTATCTCATTTATTGAGACAGACACTGTGTAGAAGTTAGGATCTAACTAACACAGAATAGTTCTGGTTTCCAAAATGCACAAGCCATTGGAGAGACTGATGGATTCATTCTGCAATTTTGCCATCAAAATGTAACATAAAAGATAGTCATAGTTTTAAACTGAATGAGAAATGTTTCTGAAAGGTAATGTTTTTAACCTACATATTTCTGTTCTCCTTCCCAAGGCTAAAAAAGAACCTACCATTGTAGTAATTTCAGAAATATAAATTGCACAGAAAACTTTGCAATGACAGTATTCCATCTTTGGCCCAAGAAAAATCAGTGATGATTAATGTACTGTTGTAATTTCATGGTATTGTGGAAGAAAATGTAAGGTTTTCACACTGGGATTCAAAATCTAGGACTCTGAGAATTTCAGCTTTCCTTAATTTTATTTTGTTTTAAAACAAACACATTCAGCTCTCAAGATATCCTTGTTAAAGTGGGAAATCCTATTTCTAGATATTTATTACAGAGATGTTAGTGCTTCAATGTGCTCCATAAATCCAGGATTTTCTCCCCTAACTAGAAAAGGAATGATGTTGCAAAAATCACTGAAAAGACAAGCTGCACAATGGAATATGCACACTTGCTTAATTGAAATGAAGTACTACTGTATTTCTTTCTCCTTCGCTTAGATAGTTTGATGATTTCTTCATCCAAAGCCACAGCAATCACAGAGCATGTAACAAAGATCCTTGATAATAGAAATGACTAAATCCTGAATTTAAGAAACATAGTTTGGTTGTGCATTTTGACCTGCTTAGTGATCCTCATTCAGGTCATTATAGCATCCAGATTAGGCATCCACAGTTTATCCAACTTCAATTACAGCATGTTTAAGAAAAGAACAAAAGGTATAATCCCAAATTATCCATGTGGTCTAGTGGTTAAGGCAACAGGCCGGAAACCAGGAGATTATGAATTCTAATCCTATCTTGGCCTGAAAGTCTATGGGGATTCTCAATCATCCAGATCATGATCGTCCCAAAGCAGTGGTGGGATTCAATTTTTTTAACTACCAGTTCTGTGGGTGTGGCTTGGTGGGCATGGCAGGGGAAGGATACTGTAAAATCTCCAGTCAGAGATGGGATTTGCCGGTTGTCCGAACTACTCAAAATTTCCACTACCAGTTCTCCAGAACTGGCCAGAACCTGCTGAATGCCACCTCTGTCCCAAAGGTGCTTTTTCAAGAGGCAATTGGACTTTCTGGGTTTCTTTGAAGATGTTTCACTTCTCATCCAAGAAGCTTCTTCAGCTCTGACTAGATTCCATTCCCCACCATCCTTCCATTCCACACCATCAAGTCAGAGCTGAAGAAACTTCTTGGATGAGAAGCGAAACATCTTCAAAGAAAAAAATAGAAAGCCCAGTTTCCTCTTGAAAAAGCACCGTTGGGTCTTGGCCTGAAAGCCATCGGAGAGCCAGTTACTCTCTTTCAGTTCACCTTACAGGGTTTTTGTTGTGAGGAAAATAAGAGGAAGAAGCAATATTAGACATGTTTGCCTCCTTTGAGTTGCTTATTAAAAAATAAATAAAGGTGGAATGTAAATAAATAAAAACCAGATCCTGCCAAAAGGAATGGAATGACTATATAGCTTTGTTTCCTACAACTATTTACAGAACTTTTTCAGTGTGCTAACACAGCTCACAAGTATGAAGTGTGGGAAAGAACTATAGCTTTGGGATGGCTTTTTTGAAGTCTGCTTGGCATTTCAGCCACTTCAAAAAACGGTGGTCACAAACTTCCGGTTTGCAGGGCTTCGGCGGCAGGCAGGAATCCGCGATCTTACGCGGTTTCTGCCTGGGCTCGCCGCTGGAGCGTCCCGAGCCAGTCTGGCTTCGGGGCTAAGCCACCCCGTAGAGGTGGCAAAGAGGGGGGAGATCCCAGCAGGGTCGAGGGAAGCCGCATCTTTCCTCCCCAGCTGGCTAAACTCCCTTTCCCGAAGGCGAATGAGCGGCGGTCAGAAATGGCCGCCTCAAAAAAGCACTCATCCAGAAAAGAAAGTGCAGGAGGAAGTTAAGAAGTGAAAGTTTTGGCTGACCGGGATAAGAAGCAACAATCAAGGTATCCTGGAATTTAAATTTTAAAAAGATACATTGCTCCCAAAGAAGATTCGGAAGCAGCGAATGAAAGTGAAAAGGGAAAGTTTTTTTTTCTTTCACTCTCCTTCCTTACGTTGACAGCGAATAGAAATGAATGAAAAATCGGAAAAACCCGCTTTGGCATCAAGAGGTAATTAAACTGGATAATTAAATGTCAAGGGGACAATAAGGATTTCTGAACATTAATATTTTTTTTTTGCTGTAAGTGGGAAGGGAGAGGAAAAGAATAAGAGTAGGATTTGGAAAGAGCAGACTGCCTGTAATTTAAAAGAATCTGATTAAATTCTAACAAGACTTCTAAAAGATACATCTTAACTGGAACTTTGTAACTAAATAGCAACCCCAGGAAGAGAAAGTGAAAAAAGAAGAAAGCGTTAAAAGAAACAGTTTGTGTGTATTTGGATTGCTTGGTGACTTTGGGATTTTTGGAAACTATATTTGAATGACTAAAAAGACTTGGGTGGTTGTTTGAAATTTTTTTTACAATGGCATCACTTGTGGATGAACTGAAAATGGAATTTAAAAAAATATAAAGAAGAGGAACAAGAAGGGAAGGGCTCTCTTGGCTCTGTTTTTCAATTCTTAGAAATGACGATTTGTACCTATGAGAAACTGCAAGAAAAGACTACGCAACAAGAAGATTGAGACAAAGAAGAAGCCATCTTTGATGAACAAGTAACTTTACCTAGGGAAGAAGGGGGAAAGGGGGGGAAAGAGAATGGAGACTTTAAGACCCCAAAAAACAACCAAAAAAGGGAAAAATAAGGTGAAAAGTGGATATAATGTCAGAAAGCAACAGAAAAAGGGAACACAGAAGAGGGAAATGGAGGTGGAGAGACAAGGGGGTAAAAAGGACAGAGAGAAGAAGCAAGGGAGGAAGGAAGGGAAGAGAAGCTACAAAGGTGTGGAGCAAGATGTAAAGAAACAGGACTTATTTAGAGATAATGGGTAAAAATTTAACTGAAAAAGTGATGCTGCAAAGGTACATAAGATTGTATTGTTATATTTGTATTAGAAATTATGTTAGAAAACTGGAAATAACATATGATTAAAAAGTGGGATAAAATACTCAGTGTAACTCAGCGAAACTTTTGTGAACAAATTAAATGAAATGAAATAAATGAGAGAATTGAACTAGGAAGGAATGGGAACATTTTAATGGTATAATATTTTAAAATATGAGTGAAGTGGGGGAAAACAACTATGGAAAGTTTATAAGTGTTCCCATAGAAGTATGATACTTATTTGAAAAGTAATGTGTAAAATGTTTAAGATTTAAATGAATACTAATATTAATAATAGATTTGAATTGGCATGGATCTGTTGTTTTAATTATATTATATATTTATAATTTTTTCTCTTTTTAAAATATAGTGTGTAACTTTAGAATGTACTAAGCAGAATCCGAATGGAAGTTATGTATTATATTAAGTGTTATAAATTTAGGGGAAAGATATAAAGGTGTCATACTCTAATCAGTGATTACAGGAGAAATTTTGTCTAATGAGAAAAGATAATAGACAGCTGGAAACAGGACAGACAAAGGATATAAGTATAATGATCTGAATTGAGATGAAATAAATAAAATAAAATTAAGAAAGTTAAAAGAGGGGAGAAGCTATATAGAAAATGTAGAATGGTAATAAGATATGGAATGGTATATAAAATGAACATGAATTTGAATTTGTATCTGTACGAAGAGATGTAACCCGGGATCAAGCTGCTTTCAAAAAAGATGTTTTATGTTTTTCTGTTTTACATTTTGTTTGTTTATGTTTGTTTTTTAAAAATCAATAAAAAAATTTCAAAAAAAAACAAAACCCCACGGTGGTCACTAGGCTTAGGCCGCTCATTAAAAAATGGTTGTTATTATGGACACACACACACAATCACAGGTTTGTACGATTAGTCTCTACCATCTGACTCAGAGCTTTAATTTTTTTTCTAAACAGTTGATTACATTACCAAAACATCACAGGCTGCTGCTAGCTAATTATTTTTTAAACATACCCATGGGGACTATGCAGTATCCAGAGATATTCTTATAAATAAAAAGTGTAGTACAAGCTGGTGCTTTGCTCTGTAGCATGCCAGCTCCCAATTTAAATCTTTTGTAATAGTAAATAATCTAAGAGGAAGAAAAATAAATCTCGTGGATTGCAAAGCTTGGTTTATGTGTAGTCACTTTGGGGCCTATCTGCAGCGTATTGCTTTAACTTATGACAAACTATGTGTTTCAATAGTAAAATGCCCTAAATTTAATCTATACTCTTTCCAATGAAATCCAGAAATGTCCTAGTCTGTTACTAAAAAGCTGATACTAGCTAGTATAACAAATACTGTATTCAATATGTCCACAGTCTGACATAATATAAGGTGGGTTAACATAGTTCACTACCTAATATTTCATTTGTCACTTGTTCAGTGATAAATAATTACCTCTGTGAAAGTGCCACATACAGCTGGCCTCTGATACCGCAGAGAAAAGATTTCTCCAATAAAATTAGATCATCATATCGAGGACAACTTTCCTGTTAAAACAGAACACCCTCTTATATGGTTCCCTACGATTCAGTTTAACTTTGAAACCAGCTCTCAAATGCCACTGCTGGTAGGTATTTTCAGTTACAGGTCAGGCTGACAAAATCTTACCGATCCTGTTATTTGATGCATCAGGGACCACCTTAAAAGCTGTACCAAATTTAACAGATAACTATTCTAGTTCTGAAAACAACATTTAACCGTGCAAAAGGCTGGAGATGCTTTGTAGGAAAGGATACAGGAAAGGACAAAAATAGAGGCAATTTAAAGTTCTTTCGCTAGCCGTAAAAATTGCACAGGAAAAATAGCTACACACCCATCGCTAAATGCCATTTGCAATTTGCGCTCTTGTTTTCCCCCCCCCCCCTTTTTAATCACTGCTGAAAGTTCGGTCTAAAAATGAATTTGTGTCAAACGTATTTGTGTCAATTTGGCGTGCCTCCACTCTTCCTGGAGATTCAAAAGCTTATTTTTGTAAACTTGCTAATTAAGTAAACACGTATCCTGCATGGATTGAAGAAGGAATTTTCAATCAGGAAACTGGGCTGAATGAGATAACGATTTTCCCCCCATAAAAGGACTCTAAATTAAAATGTGTTCCAAAGGGTGCATTTCTATCTTGATATCAATTCTTTTCCTCGCCTCCCACACTCCTGGGTCATGAATCCCTTTTTAATGGGGATGAGGATATTTCTGTTGAATTAAGTCAATATGCACTGAATATGCAAATTATCTCTCTTCTTTCAGAATTAAAACTGCTTTTATATAGGTTTTAATTTCACGAAGTGAAGAAAACATAAAGCTGGGGAAGATTGCATTTCATTTCATTCATTTCATTTTCCTTTTGTGGAAATACGAATTGGATAAATACCTTCATATCATATTCAGTTCTATCTTTGTCCCATCCTGTGAGTCTCAGTAAAATCAATTCAAATTTTGAGGAAACGGGTACAGAAAAAAAAAAAGAAGAACATCCCTATGGCTGATCAAAGATCTTTAAAAATTCCTATTGTGGAAGACTGACCAAGTAGTGAAAGATGAAATCCTTCGTAGATTGCTTTAAAACAATGTTTCCCAACTTTTATTCATTTTAAGATGTCTGAACTTCTACTCCCAGAATACCCCAGCCAGCAATGCTAGTTGGGGTATTCTGGGAGTTGAAGTCCACACATCTTAAAATGAATAAAAGTTCGGAAGTACTGCTTTAATAAAACCATTTTATATGAACAAACTGGTAGCTTCTACTACAATTTTCATGGACAATGAAGATACTACAGCAAATATGTAGTTCCTTCCTAGCATATATGAAAATAAGTCATATCTATTGCTGAAACAAATATTAGAACATTTCAAATGCAACTCATTTTGTTCTGCAGAACAGTGTGTATAGCAGCACACAAATTAGCAGATAAAACAGCAACTCCTTACAATATTCCTGAGCAAATGGCAATTGTTAGTTGACCCTGTCTAGCTTTGGAAGCTAAGCAAGATTAACTTTGCTGAATCACAAGTTGGGAATCACAAAGGAATCTGCAAACTGGACTGTTCAGAAGAAGCAATGGCAAAACCATTTCTTTATTTTTGGTGAAAAGAAAATAATCTGCATGGGTGAACTGACAATTACCAAGGCTTGAGTTGACTTTGGATCCTGGAGAATTTACTTTTTAATCTTGAAAACTAACTTCTCAGCTGCCCCAGTGTGTTCTGTCAACATTAAACATAGCTTAGAATTATATCTGCATAGTGATGCCATCATCCCAGTAATAATGTATGGCGGTGAGGGTGGACCATAAGGAAGGCTGAGTGCCAAAATGAAACTTTTGAATTGCAGTGTTGGAGAATCCCTTGGCCTGTAAGGAGATCATCAGACCAGTCAATCGCTAAAACAACCATCCCTGACTGTTCTTTGGAAGGGCTGAAGCTCAAATACTTTCACGAACTAATGAGAAGAGAGGACTCCTTGGAAAAGACCCTGATGGTTGGGGAAGACTGAAGGCTAAAGGAGAAGGGGATGGCAGAGGATGAGATAGCAACAGCAATAGCATTTAGATTTATGTTACCACCCCATAGTGTTTTATAGCATTATCTGGGAGGTTTACAATCTCAGCATTATTTGCATACTGCTCCCAACAATTTGGATCTTCATTTTGCTGACTTCTTCAAAAGGATCGAAGGCTGAGTCAACCTTGAGTCCTATCAGGATCGAACTTCAAGCTGTGGGCAGAGTTTGCCTGCAATACTGCAATTAACCACAGTATGACTAGGGCTCCCATGGTTAGGAGTTAGCTAAGTGGTTAAATAGTGCTTAGATAGTATCATCTAGTACAGCGAGCATGAATTTGGGAAAACTCTGGGAGATAAGGGAGGACAGGGGAGCAGAGCATGCTGTGGTCCACGATGTTGCAAAGAATCAGACATGACTTAGTGACTGAACAACAATGATATCATCATAGTGTGTTGTAAGTATAAATGCAATATAATTGGGGTCCAGAATCAAGACTCACCTAAAGCCATTGCTTCTATTGGACTTGTTCTTTTTTTTTTTTTTTATAAAAGTTTTATTGATTTTAACAACAAATAAAAACACATAAAACATAAAACATAACATAAGAACATCATCATTCTTCATAAATTTACAAACTTGTTCTAATCTGAATAAAATCATAGTTTGAAGAATATTTTTACTTAATGAGAGAACTCATTATGGTGGTGATTAAAACGGAAAAAAACCAGAAGAGAGGAATTTGCTATAGGAAGAGAAAAAAGTAATGTAGCTGACTCCAAATATGGATGAATCAACAGAGAGGGCGATTTGTTCAGAAACTGAATTCAAGACATTCAGTCTTATTGCATATGCTACATGCAGATCTATAGGAAAGCATTCTTCAGTGTTGTCAAAATCTCATTTGCCTGTAATCCCTGATTGCAAAGAATTGAATTGCTTTGCTAGGCTCAAATATCAAACTAATATGGGAATCTTCTATTCTCCTTTCTTTACTCCAGGACTTAGAGAAGGCTGGAGTCTGTGCTTATGTATGCAAGGCTGAACCACGGTTTAGCATTACCATGAAGAAACTGCGGGGGGAAAAAGAGAATGGAGGTCAGGATCTGCAAAATCGAGCTAAGGCTCCACATAAAGGCATTTAAAAATGTGGCTAACTCATTTTAATTCTCAGTCAAGTTTCTGACATTTGCCTCCTTAATCTGAAATAGCTACTGCCTTAAGCCCAAAATTTTTTCCACCTTCCTTCAGACATCCATCAAAGGCTTTGAAAACATCTTGGAGCAGAAAGCCTGCCTGAACAGAGGAAAAAGTTTTATAGTATCACTTTTTTCAAAACATGATTTTTTTTTTCCCAGGGAAGGGTCTTAAAGAACCCATTTACCATCAATGACAAGCAAGTTGATTTATCAGCTATCAAAAATCCCTAGAAGCCTCCAGTCTACGAGACCACATTTCCTAGCAAGTTAAGATGGTTGCCAATTTGTCAGCCTGACATTTCTTCTTACACCAATCCCAGAGACAAAGACCCTAGGTTCCTCAGGGAAGAAAAGTTACAAAGAAATTGAAAAAGTCTCTCCTTCATCCGATTCTTTGCAGAGGCGCTTTCCTCGCTAAGTACCTGGAAAAGTCAAGACCAGACACAATCCAAATACGGAGAAAAGGCGGGCTTCAGCTCCAGCTATTATCTGAAAATTGTTACTCACCTCTAGTGTGGTCAATACAATCTTCTCAACTGAAGAAAAATAAGCCTCCCACAAGAACTGTGTCTGCTGTCTAAGTGCTAGGATTTTATCCTGATGGATAGACCTGATTGTAGAAGGGATCTGTAATACAACACAGAAACGAATAAGGTACCTGAAAACACGACAACCTGGGAACATTAAGACACAGTGAGGGGCTTTTTCAGACAACCCCTTTTGAGCCCAATCCGTTTAGATGTTATACATTTAGTCTACAATGCATTTGGCTCTCATCTGTGGCACGCAATCCACATTGTCAGGCCATACCAGCCGTGATAGCAATAATTGGAAATTGAGTTATATGGGCTGTTAATGCTGTGTCTCTGTCCCACCTCTGACCAGAGAAGCCCACAGTTCTTGCATTTATGATGGTTCTTGACTTACAACCATTCGTTTAGTGACCGTTGGAAGTTATACCTGTATCAAAACGGTGACATACATTGTGAGTTTTTCACACTGAGGATTGTTGCCGCAATTTTGATCCTGTGATCAAAATTGTGCGGATGCTAAAAAATACTGGACTAAAATCCACACGTGGTTGGAAAAAATGACAAAAAAGCATATAGATTTGAAACCAGAAATATTTTTATTGGGAATTTTACCTGAAATATATATAGTAAAGACTTGAAATACCTGATTGTAAATGTATTAACAGCGGCTAGGATTGTATTTGCTAAAAACTGGAAAAATGAGAAAATACCATCACAGGAGGAAATCATTCAGAAAATATTGGAATGTGCTGAAATGAGTAGATTGACATTTGAAATTAGAGAACAAGATGATAAACAATTTTATAAAATTTGGGATCTATTCTATCAATGGTTAGACAATAAAATATAGTAATGAAATAGGTAGACTTTTAGAAAATAATAAATATATAAAGATGTATTCTTTTCTTATGATTTTAGGATAGTTCTGGGATGATAATACGAATTGTCATAAAACAAATTAAGTAAAATATGATCATTTTGGAAAACATGAATGAATAAAAGTATAGTCAAATGATTGATTAATAATGATATTAATGTATTTAATATATTGATTGAAAATACGAGATTATATACAATGTAATTATAATTGAAGACTATGAAATGGAAGCACAAAACAATTTGTAAACCAACCGGCACACTGTATGTACATATATGGAAGATGATTTGATGTTTTTATGTTTTGTTTGTTTATGTTTGTTTTAAAAACCAATAATTTTTTTTTTAAAAAAATTGGATGCTTGGCAACTGGCAGGTATTTATGATCGCTGCAGTGTCCAGAGTCATGTGATTACGTTTTGCAACCTTCAAACAAGCAAAGTCAATAGGGAAGCCAGATTCTCTTAACAACTAGGTTACTAACTTAGGTATTACAGCAATTCTCTTCACAAAAGGCCGTAAAATAGGGCACAAACTCAACATGGATGCCTATAATCTTTCAGGACTTAAAAAAGGTTTTTTTGCTCCATTTTCCAAGTTGTTTTCTCAAAAGCAGAAATGTTTGGAACCAGCATGTAAACCAACAATCCAGAAGTGATAGTGCAAGGTCAAATTTTTAAAAGCCATTTTCAAATGATAATGTTCCATGTGACTGAAGGGGAAATGGATAATAATGTTATTAGCTGGGCAAAGTTTGAACTAAATTAAAATTTATGGGAAGTAGAATCAATTTAGCAGCTGTCCTGGCTCCATTGACTATCTTTGCAAGTGTGGCTTTTTAAACACAAGTGCAAAGTGAGGCCTTCAAACTGAAAAAAATAAAACCTTCTTTATTCCCAGTTCATCATGACAATTTTTGGACTAGATAATAGAAAGAGAGAAAGATGATAATAGAGAGCCAGTTGGGTCTAATGGTTAAGGCACTAGGCTAGAAACCAGAGGGCTGTAAATTCTAGTCTTGTCTTAGACATGAAAATCAGCTGGGTATCTTTGGGCCAATTACCAGAAGATTGTGAGTTCTACTTTAGGCATGAAAGATGGCTGGGTAATTTGGTGCCTGTTATTTTCTCTCAGTCCAATCCACCTAACAAGGTTGTTGTGGAGAAAATAGGAAAGGAGAAGGAGTATTAGGAGTTCACCGTCTGGAGTTATTTATAAAAAATAGCAAAGGTAGGATATAAATAAACCAATTAATTAAAAAATAGGGTCCAAAACTGTTCAGCCAGAGGTGGTATTCAGCAGATTGTAACCAGTTCTGGAGAACCGGTAGTGGAAATTTTGAATAGTTCAGAGAACTGGCAAATACCATCTCTGACTGGCCCCACCCCATTTATTGTCCGCCTCCTGAGTCCCAGCTGATCGGCTGGGTCTTTTTTTGTTGCCCTACAGAGGAGAATGGAGCTGGAAAGCAGGTTAGTGGGATGGGGAGGGAATGGGGATTTTCAGTAAACTTCCCCCAGAAGTGGGGAGAAATGGGGATTTTACACTATCCTTCCTCTGGAGTAGGGTGGGAATGGAGATTTTACAGTATCCTTCCCCTGCCACACCCACCAAGCCACAGAACTGGTAGTAAAAAGTTTTGAATCCTACCGTGTTCTATGGGCTATGGATTAGTTCTCAATAAGTTATATATACCGCTTGTCCATCTACAAGCACAAAGTAACTTATACTGAAGAATTTATCCATTCTGAGTTCTCGTTTCTGATCTCAACTTAAATTTTTAACCATTTCCACACCAGTTTGTAACTAAACCCCTTCTCCTGTAAAACTTTATAAAGATTTTCATCATGCATCCTTTGCATTACTTTTTTTTTTTACATTTTTTAATGGAGAACTGCTTCATAAAATTCAGAACCTTAAAGACAATGATTCTGGTTCATCTATTGATGTAGGAAATGCAAATTAAGCAGCTCTTTAATAAGTATAAAGCCAAGTAATTTCTCCATCATTCCGACTTATGTTCTAAAAGTTCCCTAGAGGATGTTCCTGCTCTGTAAACTGACAACCCCTTGGTGGCCCAGTGAGATCACATCCACAGGAAGAAGAAGAAGAAAAAAGGAAGAGATACAAGTAATCCCCATTTAACAACTGCTTTGGAATATGCCCATTCCCAATTATGACGGTGATGTGACCAATGCCTGAATTTATGACCTTTGCAGATCTGTAAAGTAAAGATAGGTTGAAGTAAGATTACAAGCACAGTCAAGGCTTCACTTAGTAGTCACTTAGTACAGTGGTGAGATTCAATTTTTTTTACTACTGGTTCTGTGGGTGTGGATTGGTGGGAGTGGCAGGGGAAGGATATTGCAAAATCTCCAATCCCTCCCCACCCCACTAACCTGCTTTCCAGCTCTGTTCTCCTGTGCAGGGCAACAAAAGAAGACTCAGCCAATCAGCTGGGTCTCGGGAGGCAGAGAACAGATGGGGGCGGGGCCAGTCAGAGGTGGTATTTGTCGGTTCTCGAAACTACTCAAAATTTCCGCTACCGGTTCTCCACAACTGGTCAGAAACTGCTGAATACCACCTCTGACTTAGTAAGCAATCGTATTGCTGGTCTCAGATATAGTTGCTAAATCAGAAACTATCTGTATCCAAGAGAGATGCCAAGTTTCTATGAACCGTGTGACCTTTAGGCATCTTGCATAGCAAACAGGAAAAAAATTGATTCCAATTTATCTGATCTGTATATCTTCTTCCATTTACTGGTATACGTACATAGGCTCTACAATAGGAAAAATAAATCCTTCTTGATATTCCATTTATTGAAAAGGGTGCTATTTCAGTACAGCACCTATTTTCTCATTAGGCTGCTGCGTTCTTCCTAAGCCTTTCAAATGATTCATTTTTTCCTGGGCTAATTATGCATAAAGCATCTGCCTATGTTTGCTTTTGATTTGTGCCATTTTGCATTTTCCGCTTACACATTAGATTATACCCAACAAAAGGCTTTTTCGCTCATACATATTCACTCATGTTTTTACCCCCAAAATGCATTCTGATAAAATACACTTAATTAGAATACATCTGTTCTTTACATAGCATCATGATTTCATAGACAAGGGGGACAGTGAGGAAACAGCTTAAGGGCAACAATTTTCCTATGCCAAATTGTGTTTTGGCAAGAGGTTCATTAAGTTGAAATCTGTAATGGTATGTGAGAATGGCCTTGGGAGACAGGAGGGAAAGCCACAGACTGGAGAACCATTATTTCATTTCAGAAAGGACATTTCATAGTTTTCCGGAGAGTAAAAGAAAAGGATGGTGTCAGCCTTGGAAGCCATCTTTTTTGGGAAGCTTCAAGACTGTCACTGCCTGGGAATTTGGGAGTGGGGATTTCATAGTGAGGTAAAAGATTAGACACAACAACATTCTTTCTCAGAGAGTCAAGGACAGGTTGCCCTACACCTGGAGAGGAGTGTCTCCAGTTGGGAAGAAGATTTGATTGGGCCATGTGATGGACTGAGGGATGCAGGGGATGGATCTTTGATTTTTTTTTGGGGGGGGAGGGAAAACCTGGAACTCTCAGATTTGGGTTTTCCCAGATGTGCCAATATGACAACTCTAATAAAATGGAACTTTGAGGAAATGTTTGTCTCGGAGTTTATTGGTTTGGAGTTGGTTAGTTGGAATTCTGACAGATGGAAGAAATACTTTCAGTCGTACATGATTCTATTAATGTAACTTGATTGAGCTAATATTCCTGGTTGTGTTTCTTACCTGAACTACTTCGCAGAGTTCACAAAGTCCTTCTGCTTAATACCCAGTTCTGCCTAAATTGCTGAGCAGTATCCCATGTTGGTTAGTGCTCCTTTCAGCAAGCTATGCGGGGTGGGTGGGTGGAGGCTTCCCAAAGCAGAAGACAGATGTTATTTGCATTCATTGGTTCAGCATGGGCATGAGAAGAAGCCAAGGTATTCTATGGTAAGCAACACCATCTTGCACCTCCAAGGAAAACACACAAATTTTTGTTTGGGCTTCCGCTGAAGCAGGAGCCAAATGGATGGAATTTCCATGATATGATGCTTCATGCCAGTGGTGGCATTCAAATTGGTTTACCACCAGTTTGGTGGGTGTGCTTTGCGCACGTGCGTGGAAATGCGTGCTGTGCGCATGCACAGAGGTTTTCCTACTGACCTTCTCCTGCATTCTCCCTGTGAC